CAGCAGAAAGAGGAGAAAAAGGAGACAGAGAAAAAACATATAACACTCTAGAAAAAGACAGGAGACAGCTGAGACTTGTCCAAGAACTCATAGGCAAAGGCTGGGACTCAGCTGTCTCCAAGTTGCTGCTGCCGCAGCCAAGACAAGAGTCTGGGTTTCTACACTTCAGGGGCCCCGTTGATGTTCGTGTTTTTAACTATGAAGGGGCCTGTGCTCTATGGTCTAGCAGGATGCTGCATAGGCTGCTGGAACCCCCGCTACGCTGGGCCCTCAGGAGAGACGCTCTACACCTCATCTGTATCATCGTTGCTCTTTGCCCAGATATGATACTCGATAGATTATACAAGTAAGAAAAAAATATTTTATTTTTTTTTATTTATTTTTTTTTTTTTTTTTTTTTTTTTTTTTTTTTTTTTTTTTTTTTTTTTTTTTTTTTTTTTTTTTTTTTTAACTGCGTGTGTTTAATTTAGTAATATGAAATTATATAAATAAAGTGTAATGAATTAAGTACAACCAAATATAACAAAATAAATTAATATTAAACAAAAGAAAAAAAACAAAGTTATAGTTTACCGGGTTAGTGGTGGAGATAGAGAGAGGGGGGGAGGAGAGAGGGGAGGAGATAAAGGAGACAGATAAGATATATATATGTTTTTGTACTTTGCTTTTTTTTCCTTTTTTGTTTTTTTTAATTTGTTTTGTTATAGTTGAGTGTATTTAATTCAGTATAATTTACATTTATTTTGTTTTATTTTATTTATATTTATTTTATATTATTTTGTATTCATTTTTTATTATTTTTTATGATTTTGTTTCATGTCCCTTTCATGTTATTTTACTTTACATAATTTTATATTATTTCATATTACATTATTTTATATAATTTTATATATTTTTTTTAGTGTTGTATTGCGGTGTATGTACACAGGGGCCTAAAGGAGCCGCTGGCTGCGCGGGGTGCATGCAAGAGCATGCCTCGTCCTGCTGCAGTGAATTTGCTTCGTTTGTTGCGTATATGTGCATACTTTATAAGCCGAGAGAGTGACGATGGGGCCCCAGACTATCAGCAGCCATTCCGTATACATTTGAGTTGCGGGGCCCCCACATCATCATCTTCTGGTTCTTCTTCTGCTGCTGCAGCAGCAGCAGCAGCTGCTGCTGCTTCTTCATCGTTGCTGCAGCAGCTTGAACATCATAGTATTAAAACTTGTCCTCTATTTGGATGGCAACGTTTACTTTATCGTGCTGTCTCCTGCTGGAGAGAAGAAGAATGTATACAGAGACTGCAGCGGCTGCTGCAGACAGAGTTACTATATCACTTGATGGGTTCAGTGGGTCAGGTGGTGGGGCCCCCAGGTCGGCGCAGTAAGAAAACACCAAAGTATTGTGCTCTGGCCCCTTCTGTATATGTAGCACATTGGCTTATGGATGGGTTTATAAGACATCCTCTCTGTCCCGGTATACTCAGAGAAACCCTCGTAAACCCTCTATCTTTTTCTTCTTTGTTTGGGCTCCTTATCAATGGTGTTAATCTACCCCTTAAGCTTGGCCTCGATGCAGCACGGATGACACACTGGATTCTCTCTAGATATGTACCCCAAACATATCCTTCTTCTTCTCCACCATCAGCAGCAACACCAGCAGCAGCAGCAGCAGCAGCAGCAGCAGCAGCAGCAGCAGCAGCAACTGCTGCTGCTGCAAAAAATAATAATAATGATATTCCTGCTGGCGATAGAGCGGTGGTGGCTGCATCTGCGGTGCAGCAGACAGAGGAGGAGGGTGGTGTGTGTGTGTGTGTTGGTGATGGTGGTGATAGTGGTGGGGTTGTTGTTGGTAGTAGTAATATTATAGTAGGCTGCGGGAGAGATATATTAAGTTATCTTCAGTGTTACTTTGAGTGTATATGTTTTATAAGTGGTTCAGTATTTGATAATATGGAGAAAGTAAACAACTGGAGGCCAACAAGTTTAGATTGTTTCTGTGCTATAGATATAAATAAAATACATGTACGATACCGCATCAACTGTTCTCTTCTTACTCACTATCTAGCCAATGCATGCGTTTCTATACTCAAGGCAGATAGATGGGGGGGGCTTACATGGATACAGCACAACACCACTCCTCTTCTCTCGGACTTGGCCGGGTACCTTATGGCTGCTGAGGGGGTGGCAAGGGCCTCTTGCTCGGTCACGCAGCAGCTCCCCCCCCATCCAGCAGCTAACAGAAACAAAAACAACAACAAACACACGGGAAGCAGCAGCAGAAGCAGCAGCAGCAGAACCAGCAGAACCAGCAGCAGCAACAGCAACAGCAGCAGCAGCAGCAGCAGCAGCAGCAGCAAAAATCCACAACCATCGACCTCTCAGCGTCGCGGCAGC